ATGATTGCTCAGAAGGAGATGGCCAACGACGGTGCTTCCCGTGCCTCCATTCTCATGAAGGCTGGTGCTTGCGTTGGTGGTACCATCATCGGTTACCTGTCGCAGTTCTTCGGCCGTCGCCGTGCCATTATCGTCTCGGCTCTCATCTCCGCCTGTCTCATTCCGGCCTGGATTCTCCCCATTGGCGAGCGTAGCCTCAGCGCCAGCGGTTTCTTCATGCAGTTCTTCGTCCAGGGTGCCTGGGGTGTCATTCCCATCCACCTGAACGAGCTTTCCCCCCCTGCCTTCCGTTCTTCCTTCCCTGGTATCACCTACCAGCTCGGTAACATGATCTCGTCTCCTTCTGCGCAGATCGTCAACGCCATCGCTGAGAGCACCTTCGTCACCGCACCCTCCGGAGACAAGGTCGAGGCCTACGGTCCCGTCATGGGTATCGCCACGGCCATCATCGCCCTCGGCATTGTCTTCACCACCATGTTCGGTCCCGAGCGTCGCGGCCGCAGCTTCGAGCACGCCGTCGCCGGTGTCCAGGGCGAATTCGAGGAGAAGAAGGTCATTGATGAGCACGATGAAGAGAAGGGCAGCATCCACGCTGACAACGTCGAGAACGTCCGCAAGGAGGAGGCTTAAGTGTCGCTGCCGGGATCGGCGACTGCAAAGCATGTCAAGATATATACAGCACATGATTTTTGGTTTTTTTGGAAAACGGCAAGGGAAGGCGACAAGGCCTTCGCCGGCTGGATGCCGCACAATACCCCATGGAACAGCGCGATGAAGTCTGAATGATCTATTTGAACGAATATAAAATTGTTTTGATACCACATATTTTGCCATCTACGCATCTTGTGATTGAAATAGCAGGTGAGGTTGCACAACGCTATTCGAACAAGCTTTCACTGGTTGCGCCGACGCCTTGCCCAGTGCTTGGCATGAAGCTTGGTGATGGTAGCACGAGCACTACGAAGTCTTGACTTTCGGGATCTTAGTCATCGGGCTTCTTGGTGTCTTGGTGGCTCATCGCGATGCCCACTTTGCCCAGACCTTCAACGCTCTTCTCCACTAGATGCAGGCAACCCCCGTAACCGGCGGTCGGCTACTCACACAGGTACATGCGCCGCCGCTCGCCAACTGCGCGCGACTCTCGTCAACAATCGGCTTCGCTCGTCTGTTCAACGAATATTGGCCTTGGCATGCAAAGAGAAACTTTTATGGTTTATTGGCGCAATCATTGGCAATCATTTGGCAGTGCCCACATCCCGAGCACGCCCTTCTCTGGCCAAAGTTGAGAATGCCAAAATTGACCACGCCACGCCTACAGGGGTCATCGGTGTGGCGTTTTCCCATGGATCACAAGACATCAGGATTTGACGAAGACGTCGAATTACTCGGACAAAAGACAATTTGTCGAGACAAATCATTGCCTAGGAAATATCTGGATGGCTCCAACCTCATCGAAGAGGTCACAGCACCAAACCAAACACATTACCACTCTTACGATAATTTTCACCTTATTTTCCCCAGAACGGGGCGGCGTGGGGAATCTGAGATTATTCATTGTCAAAGTTCCCTTGCTCCGAGATCTCCAATCCGGGGTGTTTCTTTCATGTATGGAGAGAACCGCCCTGCATGCATTTCAGCAGGTTTTGTCTCTCGATCCCAAGCCCACGGATGGACGAGACGCGTCGAATGCGCGGGTCTCTCCCTCTTGAGATAATACTCGTACGATGGGCGGGACATGTGATGGGGACGGGAGGCCTGTTTAAGCGCCCAGGCTCAGGGCTGGCGTTGGCGTTCAAATGTTTTTTCAATGGGTCGGGTCCAGTCCGCCCCGCCGCCGCCGCCGTGCGGTCTTGCCCCGTACGCAAACCTGCGGGGCGTTAACCCCCATTGAGTCCAGACCCGCGCGAAAAGTCTGGTCCTTTGCTGGTGGTCCTGTGGAGGGAGTGCGGAGGAGAGGGTGCGCGGGGAGAAGACCGCGCTCTTGGTATTTCATCGTGGGGTAAGCAAAAACCTGATGTGAAAGAGGGACGTTCGGACAGAGACCGAACCCGAGGGCTTGGGACTTGGCGATATTTTAATTTGTGGTTCTCGCTCCTCCTCGTCCAAGATTGTCTGTTTTTGATGTTGGCGAAATTTTTTCTTTGCTTGCCTAGTTTGGATATGGACGACGCAGGGGAGGGAGGTGTCGTGAGGAGATTTGGGGTTTGATGTGGGCCGCGCAGCTGCGAGGAAGATGCTTTCTTCACGGAGTGTTATGAATTTCAGGGATCTGGGCAGGAGAAATTTCGAATGCGGTACCATGGTCCGCAAACGCATTTCCCGTGCGAGAAGGCATCGTGGTCCTAAGCTACCATTGATAGATCTACCAATGATTTGAGATGATGGAGGGCTACCTTGGTAGCAGCCACGTTGGCGCTCACTCACATCATCTCAACAGAGACTCCGATCTTTTCTTTCGATTGAGCCCTGGTCGTTACTCATTCAATATACGGATACATACGTGCCTTACTCTTCGGTGTTTTGGTAAGGGTCTTTATGCAGGATGCACATGCCCACCCCGCCGCCCCTTGTCGAGCTCAGTAAGCCAGGCCCGATGGAATGCGGCTGGCACCCATGCATCGGGATGGAAGAGCGGGAATGCGGGAAGGCAGAGTCGTATCGGTTGAAATCCTTTCCGGCGGATGATGTGTGTCTTGTCCCTGAACCGCTTCCGAGTCGGACGTGTGATGCGCCACCCCGGTGGTCTGATCTTCCCGGCTCCGGACGAGCGGGTTTGGAGGGTGGCCTTCCGAGGTTTATGGCATGGCTGCCGCACCGTTCGGGCTGAGTTCGAATTTGGCGATGATAGATGTGTTGGTGGTTGTAGGGTCTTGGTTGGATGAGTTTGTTTGTTGGGGTTGTTCTGTCTTTGGATGTTGAATGACAGGAAAGTTCAGAGTGCTTGCTACGGATGTTTACCTAACACTAATGAGATGTTGATGAAACGCTGCCACGCTATGTGAACCTTCTGATCTGGCGTGGTATGCAATACTCTCAAGGCTAATGTGTTGTATTGAAGCGGGCGTATTGCTGTTATACAGAGCCATCTTGGACTGTTTCCATGACATTCACCTGTATGATGATATGAGAATTGGAAGTATTGGAGCATTCTAGTTACATGTCCCTTCTGATGGCTAAATCTGTGACCGAAACGATTCCTCCTGTACGTTTCAACTACCAAGGTTGATGTTGTAAACTTGGGAAGTAATCGCCCCAGTCATCACAGCAACAGAGATGCAGTTCTGTGGATGATCACAGTGATTGCCAGCGCTGTCATGGTAAAAGCGTTAATGCGGCATCCCAATTCCCAACTCTGTATTTGACACTCTGCCTCTGGCATTATTTCTTCGTAGATGAATGCTCTATTTCGGCATCTGCGGAGGAAATAGTGTTTCTTTCCGGGAATTGCTACATTGCGAAATCACATATTCAGATACGGTTGAAACTTCCTGCATTATCTTTTCTCTGCTGCAAATGATGTACTGCAAACCACACAGAGTAAACCCCACCGCACTACAATCGTTCTCGCGAGCAGCAAGATATGAGATACCAGATTGCGTCGCTGACGTGTCCCAATCCACTTGATGCTTGTTTGTATCCCCCTAAAGCTCAGCTTCGGCTCCCGAAAGAGGAACAGGCGTGTCCATACAACAGGCACAAGAGCTGTAAACTCCTGTTGCGGGTTCGATAAGTAGGCCAATGTAGATTCCACTGAGGGCCCAGAATATGCGGTGGAGGTCGCACGTTCAGCCTGTTGTCGCCGCCGAGTAAAACGTGCCGAAGCGAAGTCCCATGATCATGGCAGAGATGTAATTGTTGGCTCGGTCAGCCATCCTTCTTCCAGCCGTAAATGCAGTGAGACCCAGCAAGGCAAAGAGTTCAATCATCAGAAGTAGAACCAGGAGCAGAATCCAGCCTCGCAAGCCTTCGACGGGCACGCAGCTTCGGTGGGCATACACCGTGTCTCCAATGAAAAGTCAGAACACAAACGAGACTGTCAAGAGGCTCATCTGTGATCTGAGACCGTTGGTCTTGCGTGAAGCATTAGCAGCTGACATGGTATTTCATGGAAAGATCTGGCTCCTTTTATTCCGGTAGACAGTTGAGAAGGTGTAACAGAGAAGATGCCGAAGCGAACCGTGCTATGATGAGACGACAAATCAAAGATGATGGTGTGTGTGTGTGTGTGTGTGTGTGTGTGTTTGTGTGTGTTGTAAGAAGGTGGGTTTCTCATGGATAAAGTAATAAATTCTGTCTAGTAGCCAGGCAGGCATCAGCTGCTATTGCGAACCGGCCCAAGAGCTTTCGGGAAGATTTCCGCAACTCTTTGGAAGGGGGAACGCATGGGTAGACAAAGGTACTGGTTCAGAAAGAGTCAGGCTTGGTTGTTTTACAGAGCGAATCACAGGATATTTGGAAGACGGGTACTGGGTGGTCCTGGGAGCAAAATGAAACAGCCGGTATTTGTCAAGATAACTTGATGCAGGAAGCCGCAGAAGTATGGTTTCGTTTTTCTTCACGAAGGTCTTCACGAAGGCCAGGGACAAGGCACCCAGATCGTTCCCTGTTCTTGATCTCAAACGAGCTGAATATATGCTGAAGATAATGCGCAAGGAAATTGACGAATGGAGTCAAAAGCTTGATGAAACAATCATTCCCAAAGGACACATAACCTTACAGAACATCATGCAGTATAGGCCGTCATAGTCAAGACTGCAATGGACCAACCGTATTAGTTCACAACGGAAGATGATGGTGCGATATCTTATCCACGGATTCAAAGATTGGGTGCGTTTTGTTTTTGCAGGGTTATAGTACGTAGGACTTGAAACGAGGTGCTTATTGACTTCTGCAATGCGATATCTTCACAGAGACCCGGCTATGCGAAACTATAAGAAAAGTTACAAGGAAAAAGGAGATGCGTGGTCACATAATGAACATTGGACCAAAGTCGGACTCCTCTAGACCTCCATCTTCTCCAGCATTCCTTGATCGCTTCTCTCCCATGGGTAGGTCTTCTCAACCGCCCGTATGAGCGCTTCATGCTGCGCTGAGCGCGGCTTGACTGATGTCTCAAAGGGTTCTGGGTGGCTGACAATCCCACCCAGGAGACTAATCTTTGGCTCGACCACCTGGCCGTCAATGACGGCCTTGCTGACCTCCAAGGCAGAAAGAGTCTGTGCAATGGTAATGAACAAGGCGTTGTCGGCGAGAACACGGCCAGGGCAGATGCGGCGTCCGAAGCCAAATGCAAATCTGTTAGGGTCCATCTCCGGTGTGTTGCCCTCGGCGGACAAGAAGCGCTCAGGCTTGAACTCCATGGGTGAATGATACAACTTCGGATCATGAGTGAAATACCTGTCGTGAGAGGTTCGCCTATCAGTCTCTGACTTTGAAGGGGCCTTCGATGCAAATTTCATAGAGAGCACTCACCATATGTTTGGCAGGATCACTGATTCCTTGGGGATGTAGTAGCCGTTGACGATGTCCTCTTCCGAAGACATATGAGGAATGGACATGGGCACGACGGGCTGCCAACGAAGAAGCTCCATCAGAAGAGCCTCGATGTATGGCAGGTTGGGACGATCAGAGAAGGTGGGTAAGCGGTCTTGCCCAACGACCTGATCAATCTCAGCTTGAGCTTTACGCTGTACCTCAGGGTAAAGCGACATGGCAAGGAAGAAGCATGCCACTGTAGAGACCGTCTGCAACGAATTAGTACCTGATCTGGTATCCGGCAACTACGTGCTGGGCAATCCACGAGATTGGGGGCTTACCGTGTCGGCTCCCCCCGCGTAGAGAGAGAGCGCCGTCCATTTCGTGAGGTACTCGTCTTCGGGCTTTTTATCGTGATCTCCCCCAAGCAGGTTGCAGGTGATTGACGAGGTGTCTCGTCCCGAGGCCATCTGTTGCTTGGTGAAAGCAAATGGCTTTTCAACAATGACCCTCAGGTCTTCGCGCCATTCCTTGGCAGTCTGCTTCCATCCAGTTCCAGGGAACCACTCCGGCAGATAACGCACTAAACTCTGTCAGCAACGCCCTGTGTCTGTAGTTCATGTCTGATTTGCTCACTCCAGGGGAAAATGTCGACCATAAAAGTACCAGGGACAGAAGCCTGCCCAAACCCGTCCATTGCTTTTTCAATCGCCTCTACAAGGTGATCGGATTTGAACTGGTCTACGTTATAGCCGTAGATCATCTTCAAAACCACTGAAGCAGCCTCTCTATTTGGCTCATTAGCATGCTAATCTTGACTAAGGTAAGTGCCGGTGACTGACTTACTTTCTGATGTGTCCAAAGAGACCTTGGGGATTGTTCAGAATATGCAGCAAGAAATGACCAGCCTCCGCCTCTTGTAGATCTTTGTACTGGGCCGCAGCCATGGTGGAGCCAATGGTCATTGCTATGTTCTTGCGATGTTTCCGAAAGCGATCGCCGTACCGAACAAGCCCAAGACTGTGTCCCCAGCCAACTCTATGCCTGTGTTAGCGTTCGGCCGCCATCCATACTTGTGAATACACAGCTCACATCTCACCGCCGAACAACAGGTGTGGTCTCGACGAGTTCTTCACTGCTCGCTTTTCCAGCATGTCCAAAGCGATGCTGGCATCATTGATGATCACCATCGTTTGGCCAAGCACTGTGATCGAGCTGATGGGCCCTGTGTGACGTAACCACGGTCAGACAACAGTCAAGATTTTGGAAAAGCCGAACGCAACATGACGGACCGTAGATATCTTTGTGTTTGATCCAATGCTTTGCTTCGTAGTCTCCAGGTTTGGGTAGGTCCAGGAGGTTACCCACGATGGGAAGCCCCTTGGGACCCGGAGGTAGAGGGGGGTGAGGACCGTTTCTGCCTGTCTTCAAGACTTTGCGGATGAGAAGGAAGAAGAAAACGACGGCTCCAACGCCAAGGGCGAGTGAAGAAAGCCCGGCCATGGTTAATTGCTGGACACCAAACTGTACACACGCAGACTCGATTGCTTAACTCGAGACAACCAGCAGCGCAGTCTACGGGCCATGCGCTGTTATATGGCCGACCTACGGGATGAATACCGATGACGCTCAACCCCTCACGGTCTCAATAGGGTCAGCTCTCCGATGCTCCTGGACAAATCAAGAACGATCAACAACGCACCAATTCTCGGCAGACGAGGCTCGAGTCCATCGAAGAAATAACGCCTTGAGTGATCGGCACGAATACCACCGCAGCACAACACAGAGTCCTCCATACGAGGCTGGGCCATCACTAATTCCATGCGCAAGCACTATGCAGTCTTGATTTCGTCAGGGGTTCAGAACGACTAAAGTTGTCACACGCATCCAATATATGCCCAACCCACCTACCACTTGCAGCTCTTTCGCACCCTTTCATATTCTGGAAATGGTTCATACCCAATCAAATAACGCGGATTACAACGGGAACGGTCCGCGGTTCGTCAGCTTACTGCGTTATGTCCGGTTACACAAGACCGTTGAGCGATATGCAATGCAACCAACCGGTCCGACCCTTTACCCAAACAGCCAACGAGTCGCAATCGAAGGCAGAAATTGGCAGAATAGCATATGGAATTTTGGGCTCTTGACAGCGGCAAAAAATGTCTACAAAGCCTGATTAGACACTGATCACTGTGATACGCAGGTGGATGTGTCAACTGAGACATTTATTCCCGGGTTGCCTGTCTTGGCTAGAAGAAGTGTTGTGCCGCATTTTATCCTCATTCGGGCAAGGCTCTGACTTGGCAGCTGTAAGGCATTTGTTAAATCGAGTACAATGCATTAGACCGCAGCATGTATGAGCAATCACAGTGAAGTGGAGCATAAAATCTGACTTGATTTGAATGTTTGGCAGTCACATCTCCTCACAAGTGGCAAGCTTATGACGACCTGGGAGATCGGCTTTTCGTCAATAGTCTCCCATCTACTGGGGAAGAAATCGGTTAATCAAGACAAGAAGTGCATTCATGGTGCAATTGGGGCGTTGATGAATTCCTGTCGATTCGGTGCCAGTGCCCAGGTCAACCCAGGTAGATGTATTCATGTTCGATCAAAGTAGGAATGGATGAGAGTCTCCATCAAGATCTGAACAATTCCACCAATGAAAGGCACTTCGGCATTATTTCACTTGGTTGACCTATCAAGATCAGGTCTCCGGCTGCAGGTCCTGTGCGGCCCATAGCCTTCAGATTGACGCAGCGATGAGAGCCTGATTTCAGCTTTGCAGAAACTGGTTAGTCATTAGGCGCCTCAAAGCCATTTCGCCATGACTGAATTAGTACAGCTTTCTTGTTACTCTATTCGCTCAATTCTTGATGGACAAATTAGTACGTCGAAGACTCTTCAAAGCAACTAGTCTATCAATCCGTCGACACTTAACCAAATACTCTTAGATCTTGCCTAAAATCACACACCTGTTCCTGGATGTTCGGACGCATAATTACATTGCAACCTGTGAACCACCACGTTGATCAAGAAGGACAGATATCGGGATATGCGTGCTTGTCACTGTCTAAGAAATACTAGTGTAGACGACAATCCGATCAGAGTGCGAAGCAACAAGGGTCTCTGAAAGCCTCTCTTTAGGTCTCGCACGAAGCGCAAGGAAGAAGCATGCTCTATCCAAATGCAGTGGTCCATAGTTGCTTCCCTCAAACTTCGACCACAAAGCTCCTCTGTACTCACTATCGTACTTAACAAGTCCCTGAAACACCATTCATCGCTGAAATACAAATGCGAGCAATTGAAGATGACGACTCGCCCTCCCCTTACTAGTAAATCGTCTTTTACCAATCTCATCTAAACACCTTCACATTACGGCTTTTGCCTCGCAACAGACTTGACTCTTGTTGATGGTCTCTTTCTACAATTACCCACCCATGTACGCGTCCCGTACACTGCCAGGCTGGTGGTACACAAGCTCGCCACCCATCAACGCAATACCACTTCGTGGTGACACATTGTGCCACATCAACTGCGGCCAGCGATCCTCTTTGGGAAGCTCATAACATAGAAGAGGGCGGCCTGGCAGCGCATCTTGAGGGCGGCCATAGCGTCCCAAGCTCTGCCATGACTCTACGACGAAACTGTCAACGGTGGCAACAAGCGTGTAATCGATGAGGCAGTATTTGCAGTAGCCCTTCACCTCACTCCCCCTCGTGGTGAATGCTCTCTTTACATCCCACCTGAAGCTTTTCGGCGACCAGTCGTCCTTCGGGGGCCAGGTCTCCTCTGTGAAGTCTGCCATGTCCATGTGATCGCATAGCCTGTAGTTCAAAGCGTCGTCAACTGGTGATTCTGTTTGGCCTGTTCCATGAGCTCATGCTTTTGTTTCTACCCTGGTGTGAAGTATATATGTCCCTCTGATAATTCTGGGTGTGAAAGTCGCCTGTACTAAATTCCGCCTCTTATGTGCGTGACCCCATACGTATCGAGGAGTTTCAACTGTGCTTTTCAGCAGATCGCTGAGGTGCTTCTCATCAACTAGAGCCGATATACCTTTCAACCTCGTGAGCTTGAGTGCCATCTGAATATGTGAATCAGGTAGGCTCTGAAACCGCCGTGGGTAAGATAGCTTCCCGCTCGGGGGAAGAAACCAATCCTGCTCATATGGACACCAGGCTTTTATTTTGTGGAGGCTGGCACAGCGCCAACAAACCCAGTAATTTGGCATTGTCCATGCGAGTCCTGCAAGGAAGACGCGAGTCTCCTTGGTGCGCAGGTGAAGGTTTTCTGTCAACTGAAAGAGTTTACTCCAGTCCTCCTTACCCATGCCGATAACCTGCCTGGCGCGTCTGCAGGTATGAGAAAAGAGAAACTTGTCGTGCCACCCGAAGAATTTGGCGATTTCCAGCAGCATCTCGGTGGGAAGTCTGATAAGCCGCGAGCTTTGGATGTCGACGGTGCTCAAAGGCTCTGCCTTTGCCGTGTCGTCAAGTTGCTCCATGATTCCAGTGATGTTGTGGGTTTGGTTGGTGTAGAGGAAAGAAGATGGGATATTATGAGGAGCAACCGCATCTAGATTTTCGCCTCAGATATATGTGGCTATGTACCCGTTTGGATTTAACTCCACAATGCGACTTCAAACCAGTCCCAAGACAATGTTTTATGGCGTGAGGACCTTGGTAACTCATGGAGCAAACCCATCGCCTCACAACTCAGAGAACAAGAGAGACGAAGTGTAGGTGAATAAGCTGGTTCATTAAAAGAAAAAGCAAAATTTCCATACACAAAGATAAGAAGGCAAAGTATAGCTCGTTCCTAGAATCTGCCAGTAAAGTGACGTTGTGAGAATTTAGACACCATGAAGCGTGTTTAATAACTCAATATTGTCAATTTGGTTATACCTATAAGGAACGAAACCCTTATGCACCACTGCAGCTAAATCATAATTACATTGGAACAATGAAAATCAAGCTGCGCTGTAAGGAAACTATCATCAAGAATTGGCAGAGATACCCGTAGTTTGCGAAGATGATGCTAGCGACGGACCGAAAGACAAATTCATCTCAGCGAGGTTCAGGGTCGAATCTGTCATAGAAATCGCCAAGATTCCCACTGTTTCATACCATTACTTCCTCGGACATAGTTGCCGTTTTGTGCCGCGCAGTCTTTCTTCCCTTCTAACTTTCGCATTGCTTCCTCGGACATAGTTGCCATTTTGTGCCGCGCAGTTCAACTACCTACAGTTGCAATATGCGCGAGATCCTACGGTGTCGTTGACGGCTTGAATGCAATTTATCCTCCAGGACACCCGCCCTGGAAGATTCCCGAGCCTCCATGAAATCCGCGATCCGTGAAATACTGCCACTATCTCCATTTAGATGACCATGGTGTCGTGGTTCATCACTTTCAACTAAAGGGCGAAAACACCAGGCGTTCAAAGCTCTAGTTCCAACATCTCAACAAGAATGCGTCTGTAATCAGCATCAAAACAGATTTATGCACTTCGCCTTTGGTGACATCCATTATTATATCCAAATAAGAACCCTTTTCTAGCAGTACCATACTCAACATCAATTAACTTCATTATTCAATGCCAGTGCTGGCGAGTCGCCGCACTCAAAAGTCTCTGTTCACTTTTCAAAGCTTATATCTTGCCCTTGTGTATTCCATCATCGTTCGTCGCGTAATATCACACCACCAGCTGAATATAATGAAATACGCAGCCAGTCCAGAGTCACTAGCTTAGTTAATAAAGGTAGAATACGCGAAGTTTCGTTACTAGACATATCGTTCACGTGAAGCAGCACAGTTCCCACAGAAGCACTGATAACGGTCCAGGGGGCTATGCTGCCTATCATCACCTCACCATCCTTCACTCTCCTGAACATCTCTATCGCTTAGATTCCCCGCGTGCCAATGTCGTCGCAAGTCCTCCTTTCGTTTCCACCGAGCATCGCCATCACAAGGTTACATACACACTCTCGATCTCCCGGCTCACCGAGCACAGCCTCTCCTGATTGCTACCTCAGAATTTGGACCAACACCAACCGAACCGGCCTCGTGATCTTCGATCCGGGAAGAACCAAGCCCACGATGCCAACTTTCAGAGAACGTCAACACCAGCTAGCCACCCACATCCCAAAAACAAATTTAGAAACAACATCAGCTTCCACTCCCGCCCGCGTCACCACAGCAATGTCACATCCGCGGACGCCTCCTTTCCCAAGAACCCATCGCCGATCACACGGGAGAAGCTTCGATGGGGCCGCCGAAATGAAGGGAAATTCCCCGACCAGATCCACCACACCCGCCCGCCAGCACTCGCCCCGTCCCAGCACTGGCACCTGTCGAAAAAAAAGCACCTGCTGCCCGCTGCAGCTACGGGGGGCTCGAAAGAGGAAGAGTCATCGTGAACCAAGCCTTACCGACTGCGCAAGGGGACCATGTCAGGTTGGGCTGCGATGGGAAATTGGGGCCCAAAGAGCTCGCTCGCTCTG